CCATCAAGTTAATTCGATCGTCATCAACAAACAAGCCAACTCCTTACACTCCCTGATCGCTGACGGAAACTACCGTTCAACCAATTTGAATCGTCATACCTGGAAGAAGCTGATTGGCCAACAGGCATCGCTGCAGAGAAATTGTAACAAGGAAGGGTTCAATTCTCGTGGGCTGTGGAAGCGGTGCAGCAGAGCAAGAATAGGTATCATAAGTAACCAAGAATACAACTGTGTTTCCCCTGACTCGAGAATTGGGTTTGGTACTGGTGGTTATCCTTCTGATGCCAACACCTGTGGAAACATAGCCTGGCATGTTACAGACAATGGTGACAAAAGCATTAAAGCGATGGGCTACATCCTGGTGCAATGAGTATACAAATGCAATGTTAAAAGTATTGTTCGACTTCATGGTCAATGATCAGAGTCCTTTACAATGCTAAGTAGAAATTGTAGGTTAAGTGAAGGCTTAATTCTTGCGTGAACAAATATTTGTGGAAATTAAACTGAATAAACGCATTGCTCAAAACAAAACCTTTTGTTCTGTTCCCCCCCGGGGCGGATACTTCTGGGAATTCTTGGTGGGGTGTGCCGTCCGGTTCCCCAAATCCTGACGCGACCAAAAAATGTCATTTTCCACACCCGTTTTCAGACCTAGCCTTTAGGCAGAAATTACGTTAGTATTACTTAGATTAGAGCGCAAACAAAAAAATTCCTCATATTCGTTTCGAATTCGCATATTTCTCTTTCTTTCTTACTCATTTGGAATTGAAATGATAAATACGTTCATATTTTCCCGTAGTTCCCTCGAAAACCATACCCCATTCCAGACCAAAATGGGCAAAGTGTATGCCCGTTTTCAGACCAAAACGGCGCAAAAACCCTACCCGATGGGTCGGCAAATACCTATATAGCTTATATAAGGGAGTACCCCCCGGGTGTTTCCTCTGTCTCAATCATTCATTTATATTTTTTCCATGATAGCTCTCTCTCCAGGGAACGGTCCTAGCATCCCCACAACCCCCTTCGCCTACCAGGGCTAGCGCCAAAAATTAAACACACACACACACTCGATGACACAAACCCGACACTTTCTGGCACAACACAGCTTGAAAAAAAGCACTTAATCGAAACAGCGCCACCCGAATAACCTTCATCACCTTACATCGATATATCACATTTAGGACCGAATGTGATAAAGAAAGCGTTTAAATAAAAATCAAGGTGAGTAACCACAAGTTAAACATCCACTAGGCGAGGTCCTCCCTGAGGAAGTCGAACTCAGCAACACGCGTACTGCTTACGCTTTATGCACATTCCCAACACATTGAGTCTCATCTCGGCAAGAAACAACCGCAAGCAAAACTTCCAATAGCGTTTCTCTTCAGTCAACTTCATTTTAATAATGTTACTTCACATGCTCTTATTTGCGGCGGCCATCTTGTTATGCACAGTAAGAGATGCGCAGTGCAAAACCAGGGAATCACCTTAATATGTTGATTACCATTGCTGATGTAAGCTTGAAGCATATCGATATAAATTTAAAAACCCGTCGTTAGAAGAAATGAAAGTTCAAAACAAAACAAGGTTTGAACTTTCACTGATTTCTTCTTAGCAGTATGGTATTGAAATAAGTATGATGAAAGTGATGATAAAGTATCTCCCTAAACAACTTTAAATTTTATTAATCGTAGAGTACGTACGTGATACTCCCATTAACTGAGTTTGCAAGGCTGCGTATTAAACTTCAGTCAGTTAAGTGACCTCTTAAGTTCGCGCAAACCAAATTGTAAAAAAATGGGATGGAAATTTCGAAAGAGCGCTGCGGTGCTTATTGATTTTGCTA